GGAAGGGTGGCAGCGTGAGTCTCCTAACCGCCATAGACGAACTATGACGGGCGGGATACGTCCCTGTTACCTGGAAAACGACGACTAGTCACCGTAGCATGGTAACGACAGCTGCTCCGAGCGGAGCGTTAGCGCCGCCGGAAAACAGCGCTCGGAACGGCCCGATCCCCCTCTCCCGACCGCGTAAGTGATCCAGTTGGCCACTTTGCATTGGCGCGAAGCTTCAATACTAAGGTTTTTTTTAGGCGGGGGGTGTTTTTGAAGCTCGTGCCTTGCTATTTCTTTTTGCAGAAATTGAGAATATTGAGATTTCCGTGGAAGACTGCGAACAGGCCGGCATGAAGGTCGCATGCAGATGTACGGGGTTGGTGGAAGAGTGGATGCTCTGAAGTTCTGTCATGATGTCGAAGTCAGACCCCGTGATTGTTCGTGTTTTTAGTACTTTTCTTTGCATTCGTGTAAATGAAAAATAACATTATTTATGCATTTTTAAATGAGATAAGAACGCCACACACCGTCTTAAACGATGCTAGTCGGTCCTGGCCTCAGAGGCAGTGTGAGTGCCCCCGTCAGTGGTGGGAGCGCTATTCCTTGCACTTAGCATCATTAGGACAAGACGCAAACTTGAACTGTATTCATGGTGATCTTGGTCCTTTTGATTGTAGATCTCGTAGAAGATCCAAGGGTGCATGGTGAGAAACCCACCTAGGTGGTTCAGGCTTCCTTGGGATTGCACTATTTGGGTTAACGTTGATCAAATGAGTAAGGAGTCGTCCATTGATGAGTTTTTTTTTCTTCTTAATTCTCTTAATAATGGGAGGCAGGGGACCCCACAATTCAACCCGGAGTTATCCCAGCAGCATCAGCCGGTTTAGCTTAAAGTTAAACCAAAATCCCTAATAAAATTAAAAAAAAAGAAAGTCCCTCATCTACTTCTAGCTCCCTATAATAACCTTAATTCTACAGAAGACTCTGCACCATTGATTAGTTGAGCTCAGGGCAGTTGTTTTTTTTTTCCCCTTTTTTTTTTTTTTTTCCGAAATTCTTTTTTATTATTGCCGGAAACCGGGTCCGGCGTCCCATACATTTGTTCCGTGGTCATACGGCTGGGTAAGGCACTCCCGGCCATGCCCATCCAGACCACGGTCAGATCACAGTCGGATACCGCTTTGCAACAAAAACCACAAAACAAAAATCTACCAACCCGGACCAGCAAAAACCACAAGACAAAAATCTACCAACCCGGACCAGCTTACGAAGGCAAAACCAAAAATCTTACCAACCTACAGCCACAAGTTTTTCCAAATGACTTATCCAAAATGAACTAAGGAAAGCTGAAGGTGAGCTCACAGAAAAAAAAACAGAACACCTTAACACAGGTGACCCTTCCATCGGTGTGTCCACAGTAACAAGGCCCGGGAAAGCTCCCCATGGGTTCACAAACCACTTTACAGACTTAGCCGAATAGGCCTTTTTCTGTACATGATATTCCCACTCTGCGGCTATGGCCTGCGTAACGGAATACTTAATCTCAGCTCTAACCATTGGCGGTGTTAAGAGCTCCTCTCTCCTCACCCTGGCGTTTCTGAGATTCCAAAGGGTCCATATAATGGCCCCTCTGATAGTCTCTTCCGCATGGCCATATTGTAGCTGTGGCCTCGATCTTCTAGCAGCAGTCCCCAACAGGATGAAGCAATCTTCCCAACGGGTGTCCACATGTGGCACTGGCACATCCGAATGTCTCCACCAATCCCAAAATGGCCTAGAAAGGTCGCATAACAGCACAAAGTGTTGAATGTCTTCCATCCGAGTCCCCGGGCATACCTGACATTCCGGCGTGGCCTTTGCAGTCCGTTTGGCACACCAGGTGTTAACCGGCAACGCCAGGTGCATCAACAACCAAAGCAAACTGGAGTGCTTACTCACCACCAGGTCCATCAGCTGCTTCCAGAAGGCAGGGAGTGCTGCGGAGAGCCTTGTCACAGTGTCGGCCACCCACCCAGATGCCATCCATCTTCTGGCCACAGTCCAGTTGACATCTGTTGACGGGGTCATTATTAGATAACCCAACTTGGTGGTGTATTGAGACAGGTTAAGCAGTTCATTACATCGCAACGGGTGTTCCCACGCCCAATCCCTTGGGTCGACTGGCAAATTATACGCCGGCACCTGCAAGGAGAAGGGTCTATAGCTTTGTTCCTGTTCCAAAACACAAACTGGCAACAATTCGTCAACAGGGGGGAGAGGAGGCTGCTCCTCGGCGAGCGACAAAGGTTCTCCCAGGGAGTCAGCACCCCCTCGCACATGCCAACAGGTGGTCGAGATTTCCACCACTTCCGAATAGTCCTCGATTCTCCAGATACAGTGAGGCGTTTGCTGTTGAGCCTGTTTGTACCACATTCCTTTAACGGGCCTAAGTCCCATTCTCAGAGTGCACTCCCATTGGTGAGGAATAACATTTTTCAGCTGTTCCAAGTGCTCCGCCTGACGCCACAGGCCGAGCAGTCTCGGGGCCAATGATTCAACGGTTTTCCAATCGGCAGTAGTCACATCCCAAATGTCAGCAATTTGTGCTTAGAGCCTGTTCTGTCTATTCGACTTTGTGTGCGACATTGTTGGCCCCCTCAGGGCAGTGTTCCCTGTAAGCGAAACTGGGTAATGCTCCCAGCAGTTTTTCTTCCGGGTAGAATGTGAGGACCCTGGGGCCAAGTCCCACTAGGCTCTAGCAGCCTTGAGCTATCTCAACGCCCGAATCTGGACGTGTTTGTGGAGACGTGCAGTTCAGGAAACTCGACACCATTTCCGCACATCTCCGCAAAAGCGTCCACATTCAGGCATTGAGGTAGCTCAACGCTGCTAGTGGGACTTGGCCCCCGGCCTCGAAATGTTTTTGAAGTTAACGTATATCTTGTGATTAAAAAAAAAGAAAGAAGAAAAAAGAAAAGTACTCTCCTTGCCAACTGGTGTAGTGCCCAACCTGCCAAATTCGTTACGCGGATAGACCTTTGAGGAACTCACCGTAGGACCTCGAACTCGGAGAGCGTGCCTGGAGTGAGTCTGAGCGGACAAAAAGGAGATGACGCCGCCGTGTCTTCATCTGCTGTCACTAGGTCTGGTGGTGGACTCAGGAATCCGAGATGAGGAGAGTGGATAGTAAGTGCAGCGGTGATGGAAAAAACCCACACCCTATTCTAGCGAGTTTCACAAGTCTCCGCCGACTGTCCGAATTTCAGGACAGTGGAGAGTAGTGCAGCGAGACCCAAGATGAGAGAGTTTTCAAAACTCTCCACGCAGAGCCGGTCATTCAACCAGCGCAGGGGCCTGGACGTCTTTTTTTTTTGGAAACAACGGCGGACGCGGCATGTTTTGAGTTTGCAAAGGCAGAAAAAACAGGCAGTCGGCAACTTTGACATGGCCTGAGTTGCAATAAAACGCGGTTGTAACTCGGGCTGGCAGTGGTGTCAGGGTGGCGGTTTCGTTAAGGCGGTTGAGTTTGAAAAGGCGGTTGCAACTCAGGCCGGCAGTGGTGTCAGGGTGGCGGTTTCGCTAAGGCGTTAGTCATCCATGGCATCGTCGCACTGTTGAAGGTCTTCCCATGTCCCCCCCGTCTTGCATTTGATCCACCACCTTGGTGTCGCTCGTGGAATGACGCCGCAACCCAGCGTGTAGCACAGCTCCATGATAGCCTTCGAAGTTGCCATGTAGTCGGGGTCGTCATCCGCAGCTTGCACCGACGTCCTTCTTCTACGCGCACGCAATTGCTCCTTCATTCGTCCCAGCGCCCTCTCCTGCTGACAATGAAGAATAACGGTTGACACAGTCGCCGCCACGGCTGCCCACTCAAGCGGTGTCAACAGCGCACGTCCGCCCTCTCCACCGCCCTCCATCGCCACCACCTCCACAAGGATGACAATCATGACGTCTCTCTGTTGCCGTCTCAATCCTTGCACCCCAGAGACGTAACCCGCTCACCCCCCGAGGAGAGGTCCGAGAAGCTGCTGCCTTTCAGTGGATGTCGTCCCCTTGGCAGAACAGTGTGTGACGGCGAGGACGATGTGGAGGAGAAGCTCTACTATGATGGACGCACCCGATGCACGCACGTACACTGACCGGGAGGTGGGTGGAAGGGACGCCATCGCTAAGGCCGATTCAACTCTGCACCGTCTGCGCGCTGCAAGCCGAACGCCGTCGTCGTCACCACAACTGTACTTCAAATTTTGAATTTCAAACGTAGAGGTCCCCCTTTTTAATTTTATTTTTTGTGGCCTGCCTCATGCTCTTTTCCGCTGGATGTTGCTGGACCACGCCGTCTCCGCACGGACACCAGACGCTGGACCACGGACACCCTTGCCCACGACCACGTATCTTCATATGAAAATGGTCGCGGGCATGCCACAAGGAAACGTCCTCGGGGGACGTCCCCAAGGATGTGCGGAATAACGCCGCCAAATTCCCTTACAAGCCACAAGGAAAATTCCTTGTGGCTTAAGGAACTTGTAAGGAGTGTCTAACGACGCCCTAAGAGAGAGTGGATAGTAAGTGCAACAGTGATGAAAAAAAACACACCCTATTCCAGAGATTTTCACAACTCTCAACCTTTTTTATACAGGGTCAAGAAGCTCTACCGAAGGGTCGAGGAGAGTATCGACTGAAGTGCCGGCTATGCACACAAATTTTGAGGGGCACGGGCACAAGGGCAGTGGAACACTTTTTGAAGTTGTTGAAGTTGTGTCCCTTGAGGACAAGTGAGATGGTGCACAAGCTCGTACGAAGGTGCTGTCGAGCGACAAAAATACGCTGTACCTCCTGAAGAACTATAGGCAATTGCATGGCATTGAGGAAGGGGGGGCGACTGTGACAGAGACTCATGACGTGGAGCCGCCCGTTTGCGGGTACGAGGAGCCGCAACCACCAGCCATTGTGGGGATGGCACCACCGAAAACAGCTTCCCGAACAGAGTCGGTCGCCGCTGCAGACTGCGGGCCTATGGAAGGTTCAGGGTCAAACACGAGGGTGGCATCATTGCAACAGACATCAATTAAGAGATGGGTGGACAACGATGCACAAAAGAAGTTGGATATTGCGTGGGCGGAGGCGATGTTCCGTGCTGGCATTGCGTTCAACTTCCTGAACTTTGACACGACGCAGAAGCTCCACGAAGATTACTTGGAAGTGGCGAATGCGCGACCGAAGGTCAAGCTGCCCTCGTACAAGCATATGAGAATGGTGATGCTTGACTACATCTACTTGCGAATTCAAAAGCAAGTGCATCCTTTGACAGCCTGTTGGGATGAATTTGGTTGTACATTCATCACAGATGGGTCATCCGACCGTCGAGAGCGCCCTGTCATGAACTTCTTGGCAGCGGGGGAGAAGGGTGCAGATCTGGTGACCACAGTGTCAATGACGGCAAGGAAGAAAACAGCACAAGCATTGGCAAAGTTATGGGAGCAGATCATGAGGGAGATAGGGGTGCGTCGCATCAACGCGATCTGCACCGACAATGCCGAGGTGAACAAGAAGGCTGCTCAGATTCTGGAGCGCCGCACTGACAAAGACATTGCAAGGATTCCATGGGTTCCTTGCGCTGCGTATTGTTGCAGTCTTTTGCTGCGAGACATCAGCAAGCTAGATTGGGTGAAGAGCACTGTCAAGAGAGGTCACACTATTGTGAAGTTCATCCGGAACCACCACTCCACGAATAGCCTGATGATGTTCATGGATGATTCCCTGACATTGCTTCGTCCCACAGAAGTTCGGTTCGGGTCAGTGTACATGATGTTGGAGAGGCTTCTGAACAGGAAGGCAGTGCTGTTGGATATGGTGGATCGGAAAAATGCAACACGGTGGACGGGGATCCGTTGGTCCACTGCAAGTTGAAGTCGAAAGCGGACGTGGTTTACTTCGCCATGAGGGGAGACGCCTGGTGGATGGAGTTGAAGAAGGTGGTCGATGCAGTGCCGTCACCCTGAAGGTGAACGGCATCGGTCACTTGAACGTAACCGGCTGTTCATTTTGTGTTTTTTTTGTGAACAGTCGTTCACAGTGAACGGGCAGACCATGAAAGAGTGGTATTTTTTTTTTTTTTTTAGGTCTCACCCAACAAATGTCGCCTGAAGCCCTACAGCGTGATGACATTGAAAAAAAAAAGAAAAAAAAAAAAACTATAAAATAACAAATAAAAATGCTTATTTGGTTGGTTGAATTTTKTTTTTMRTTTWWAAWWAMWWTWWTTKKKRAARAAMAMWWWTTKRAAAAAATWWKGGGGGTTACCCTTCGATGACCTCCACCCTCCTATAAAAAAMACRCCCCCCCCCCCCAACAAAAAAAAAAAAAAAAAATTGATCCCGCTCTCCGTGAACTCCATGAACTCCCATGTCGTGAACTCCGTGAMCTSCWTSMCCAGTTTCCGTTCACAGACGCAGTGAACGCTGAACGGGGGTACGACACTTGGTTGATGTGATGGAACCGTTGTACAGCCTTCTCAGGAGGATGGATCGGGATGGAACATCGTCGACAAACCTTGTTGAATAGGACGACCTGATCGAAAGGAAACTGACTCACGTTGTTCTCACTGAGGAGCAGTGGGCGAACGTCATGGAGAAAGTCAGAGATCGGGTGAAGATGATGTGGCAACCAGTACATGCACTGGCATTTCTTCTGGACTTGCGCAAGAGAAATCCACGGTGGCTCTATGATCGGGACAGTGCAATTGTGCAAAATGCGATGCGTTACCTGCAGAGACAGGTTGGAGGTTCTTGGAAAGGGTCAGACCACCTTGACGTTTTGGGTGACCTGCACGAGTTTCACAAGGAGTCCACGCCGAATGGGCCCAAGAGAAAGGACAAGAAGATGTGGGAGTCCGATGCGAAGGTTGATTGCGAGAAGCTCACACCGTCAGAGTGGTGGGCGACTTATGATGGCGATGTCCCCGACTTGCAGGCCATTGCCATCAAAGTAATGGGTATGTTGAGTACAGCAACAATGGCTGAGCGGAATTGGCCGCCCATGGACTTCGTGAACTGACATTCGAAAAGGAGGAACAGCTTGAAACCCGAAACATTAGAGAAGTTGGTGTACATCCATTGGAACATGCAACTACTGCGTGCTGCCAACAACACCGGTGCCAATGGCGAGGGCTACGTCGATCTGCGGAGTTCGTTCTTCGAGGCTATTCCGGAGCCAGACGAGAACGATGGATGTATCTTGAGGGGCCTTGAAGACGGTTGAGGAGCTGGTGCGGCAAAGTAGCTTCATGAAGACACCGAAGGGAAGGATTCGAAAGAAGCTCGAGGACGAAGAGGACGAGTGCTCCGACGACAGTGACTTGGATGATGAGTTGTGGAAGGGGAAGTGTGGATTGTCGAATGAGACGAGCGGCGCGAACGAGGAGGAGGATGAAAGTGATTCCGATTTTGAGCTGGGAGCCCAGCCATTGGTCCCGGGCACTACTTACGTTGGTATGAGAGAACCTGCAGGGCGTCAGAGGGAGAAGCCGCCCGCGGTCTCTACACAGGCCCGAAGGGAAAGCTCCTCCCGATACCATCCTCAGTCTGACGTTGACACAGACATCGAGTTGCTGCTGCAAACTGATCCGGTTGATGAAGATGAGGCGGAGGCCGACCGTGCAAAGGCATTAGCAGATCGCGATAGAGATGTCGTCCAAAAACGGATCATGGAAGAGGATGCCCGACGCGCAGCAATCCCAACCCGGAGGGAGATTGAGAGACGCAAGAAGAAGGTTGGGGAGAAGGAACCAGAGACACGTCGGCCATCGGACGATGTGCAGGAGCGAGAAGAGGAAGAGCAACAGCAAGTAGACCGGTATTGAAGGTGGCGGACCAGCAAGAGGCGGAGCACTGCAAAGAGGCGGACCAGCAAGAGGCAGACCAGCAAGAGGCGGACCGGCAAGAGGCGGACCAGCAAGAGGCGGAGCACCGCAAAGAGGCGGAGGAGAAGGACCAGCAAGAAGACAAGGTCGACATGGACCACCTACAAGAGGCGGAGATGGAGCACGGAGAAGAGGACGAGGAGATGGAGAAGGCATGGATCAACAGGACATGCAGCACAACGTGGATGACGAGGACAACGAAGAGGAGCACCAGCCTGCAGTAAAGACTGTGTACATGCGTAGGCAACGACCGGTTGTGTCCGCACAGTCTGTCGAGAACTCACCCGGCTTCCCTCCCAGCAATGAGGCTGTCCAACATGACAACCTGTGGGTGAGCAGGGTGGGGAGGAAGAGGAAGGAACCGGTGGAGGATCCTGCTGCGAAGCCTAATCATGCTCGTGGCAGGCCCCGCAAGCTGAAGACCGCTGAAGCCGGTGCAAAAAAAAAAAAAAACATTCGTCAGCGCAAGGCTCGCGCAGAGGTTGTGGAGGATGACCCCGATGCAGATAACTGCAGTGAACGGTCATCTGCGGAGGGGTGTGTGTGTGTGTGTGTGTGTGTGTGTGTGTGTTTGTGTGTGTGTGTGTGTGTGTGTGTGAGAGAGAGAGAGAGAGAGAGA